TCCTGAGGAGACCCACCCTGTGGGAGCGTACAGGCCGATGGGAGGTAATCTGTGGCAGAAGGCGGTCTCGAAGATATCCCGGTCCGATGCCATGGAGCGCCTTAAAGATGATGGTCAGCACCTTGAAGCGCACCCGGAAGGCAGATAAAGGGAACATGGCTGCTTCCCTGTTGTCCATCTGCTTTGGGATTTTTCTTTCTAGAATAGCGCCCACAACCTTTCTGACCCATTTCATAGCAGAACCCTGGCTGAAGTTTTAAATGCACCTTGAAGCCTTGAGAAATCAAGGTAATGGGAATAAAGGCATATTCTTGCCAAGGTCCATTTGACGACACAAATAGCAATAGCTATAGTAACAGCAATAGGATTTAAGACTTATATATTGCTCCATAGTGCTTTACAGCACTCTCTGGGCAGCTTACAATGTAAACATATTGCCCCCAACAATCTGGGTCCTCATTTTATCAACCTCAGAAGGATGGAAGGCTTGAGCCTTGTCAGGATTGAACTTCAGTCTGTGTCCAGGAGAAAATGAACACACCACACAGCCTCCCAGTTGTCTGCCATGAATGAAATATTGCATTCTAACCACTGCCACCAGATAGTTGGTGCTGTAGAGCTCAATGGATTTTTCTGGGTTGAAACTTTAGGTAGGATATTAATGGAACTAGTTGTGAACCACTGTTCTCCTTTATCCACTCTGTACTTCTCTGTAAGGCTCCTGGCATTCTCTGGGTCTTGATTCTTTGTGATTCTATGGCCCATCACCTCTCTCTCCTCTGACTGGCATGCCTTTTCCATCTTCAGATTTTTTTCTTCCAACATATTCTAACTATAATGTATGGCTTTGGGTATGATGGGGTGGATGTTGATTAGGGATTAATGGGCTGCATTTTCTCTTCTAGTCTTTAGACTACATACAACAGTGGTAACAATACAGCTGAAAACGGCATGGAGAAATGTTGTTCTGTAACTGTGCTGCAGGACACAATGCCACATGTCTGAGCTGAAAACTCTGCCAGAGTATACAGTGAAGATTACTTTTGGGAACTCTTCTGAAAGTGTAATAAAAATTCTCTGGAGTCACAGACCCACAGTGCCTGCCTTTGTGTGAAACTTTTTCTCCCTGAAACTTCCAACCACAATCCAAACTTGCCTGTTATCTCCTTCCTTTTGGGGAACAGGTTTGAAAAAGATTGGGAAAGAATCTGGTAGGACAGATTTAAGTTGTCATGCTAGGCCCTTTAGCACTGGCTGAGGCATTGCTAGTCTGTAATTGCCCATGAAACTAAAACAGAAGTTTCAAATCAGAAATTAAAAACAGAAGCAGGCTGTGTTATCCAGAAAAAAATCTTCCCTATTCCTAGATTTTCACCAAGAAATATGTCCAGTTGAACATATTTTGTAATGGTTTATTTTTGGAAATTTTCTTCTGCTCACTTTATTGCTTCTGATTGAGTGAGGCTGTAGGGTTGGTGCTTAATCCTTTAAAAAAAAGTATTAAGCACCCATCTCACAGTCCTGGTCAATAGTTTTTAATTTGCCCATGGTCAATTCCAGTTTCAGAGAAGCTAAAAGGAAAGAGTCTAAATACACATTGTCTTATTTGTTTCATGATTATTTGTAGCAAAATAGTTTTATTCAGAAAAATAATGAAGAGGAAATCTGATCCTCTCCATCCTGAACAAGAAAATAAACTACTATTGGTCTCTAGTCTATTAACTATAATAAAAAAGAATGTGCAGCCAGGAAAAATTCATTAGATCCCAATAAAACACTTATTTTCCGAACTACCTGATATTTACTCTACATTGCAGCACTAAGTAGTCTGAAAATCAAATGAAGCCAAACTTGAAAAAATTTAGAAAGTATTGTACAAATATCTTTTTAAAAAGATGGCTACATAACTGCCTTTTCCAGTGACCAAAGTATTAGTTTTTCTTATCTGTCTTTCCTACCATATATTATTACTAGGCAACATTGCACATTTGCTTCAAACCTACTTAAATTTAAAGGCCAGCAATTCTATCAATGCGTAATCATTTTTTACAGATTATGTTTTTGTATCTGAAGTAATAATAATAATGATAAAGTTGGAAGGGACCTTGGAGGTCATCTAGCCCAGGGCTTTTCAACCTTTTCACCCATTGTACCACTTTTACGATATGGCAATATCTGAGTATCACCAGTCACCTAGCAAGGTGTCAAAAACTTGATGACCAAAAAAAAAAAAGGAAAAAAATGATAAAGTACAGGTAGTCCTCGACTTACAACAGTTCGCTTAGTGACTGTTTGAAGTTACAATAGCACTGAAAAAAGTGCCCCCCAAGCCACAGCCGAGCAAGATACCTGCCTGCCCGCCCGGCAGCGCTCTTCCTCCTGTCCAAGGTTTTCATTGTTGTGAGCATTTCTGTTGAGGATTGGCAGCGGGGGTGGGGTGGGGTGGTGTTTGGTTTTTATCCCCCCCTCCGTCTGCTGGATGGTTGCAGCAGGTTTTGGTCACTTCATATGACCCTGGGACACTGTGACCGTCATAAATATGAATCAGTTGCCAAGAATCTGAATGTAAATCACAAGACCCTGGAGATGCTGCAACATTCCAGCTGATCGGCCCTTCTGGGCTCAGCAGAAGCGCCAGGATCAGCACCGGGCTCCAGCTGGAGCCTGGCGCTGATCCTGGTGCTTCCACTGAGCCCTGACAGCCCTGAAGCGCCAATCAGCTGGAAAGCGGCACTGATCCTGGTGCTTCCGCTGAGCCCTGCAGCTCCAGCCATCTCTCGCTCAGGCTTGTGCGGTGCTGCCACCGGTTCAGCTCATTCCCCTCCCCTGCTACCACTTTTCTAGGATGCTCGCGTACCACCTACCAGGTGCCAATGTACCAAAGGTGGTACCCGTGCCACTGGTTGAAAAGCCCTGATCTAGCCCAACCCCCTGCTCAGGCAAGAAACCCTGTACCATTTCAGACAAATGGCTGTCCAGTCTCTTCTTAAAAACTTCCAGTGTTGGCGCATTCACCACTTCTGGAGGCAGGTTGTTCCACTGGTTAATTGTTCTCACTGTCAGGAAGTTTCTCCTTAGTTCTAGGTTGCTTCTCTCCTTGATTAGTTTCCACCCGTTGCTCCTTGTCCTGCCTTCAGGCGCTTCATACTGGTCCAAGAGAAAATGTTTTCAGGATTTTATTCCCCTCTTAGCTCCAAAAGTGATAAGCCTTTTAATGTTTTCTTTCCTTTTTTTGTATTTTATGTTTTTAAAAAATTAATAATGTTCACAAAAAAGCAAAATAAAGCTATTAGTAGAAATAGATTTAGAAAAGCAAAATTTGAACAGAGCCATAATTTTGGCTTCAGGAGCCTTTTTTTCTTCCTACAATTTATAAAAGAGATTAACTAATGAACAGAGAAAAATCTAGTGGGAGAAGAAACACAACCTTAATTCGGTGGTATCTCCTTCAAAAAGTTCAAGATTTTCTCCTGCTATATGAATATGGGAGAAGATAGTTCTGGGAAAAGGAGAATGCTCCCAGCTCTCCAATAAAGTCTACAGTGGCAAGTTTCATTGTGTTTAGAGATCCCAGCTCCAAGCAATAACCTCCAAAATAAATGATATCAGTACAAATTCAGCAGCCACTTGGTGATCCATGCAGCCTAAGTCCACTCAAATTCCAATATGAAGTATAACTCTCTTATGTTAGCATGTTCTCCTTGCATTCCAGTCTGCTGTTCTTTTAAAATGAAACTAATCCATCAGCATCATTACATGCTATCTTAAAAGGAATGTGGTACCATAGCCATCTTCCTGTTTTGTAGAATTGCCAATAAAGAATCAAAGCTTCAGTTTCTTCCCACAAATCCCCAGAAGCTTCATGCTACTGCAATTTCACTGAAGGGGACTGTAGCCAAAAGAAGTTCCTCCAGGGCTCTACTGTAGCCATGAGAGACTTTAGAATAAAGATAGTAGGACACCATCTCTGCAATCCACATACTGATACTTTTCAAAGGAGAGTTGCTCCGAATGAGAGAGATAGGAACAAGTCAGGGTACCTCTGTGGGAGAGAAAAATAAGAATTCAGTAGTAATAAAATGTTTACAAATATGATATCTCCTTGTTATCTCTACCAATAAATTATATCCCAGGCTTTATTCTCAATGGTATATTTTGGGATAGATAAGGGACAGACAGAGAATGTAAAATTAACAACAGATCTGGAAGCTTATTAGTTATTACTGAGAGAACCAGTGTAATATAATTCCTAGGAACACAATAGAAACTACATTAATTACATTGATTAGTGATAGGATGAAATGATCAAACAAGAGGAGTGAAACAGCTGTCTAAATTAGAGAAGATTCTCTTGATTAAAAGTATGGTCCCCATTTGAGCAGAATGACATATTTGGCCTATAGACTAAACCAACCATCCAACCATCAGGATTTTATGTTAGAAGATGCAAATACTGGACCAGGAGTTAGCTATCATAAAGGGAAAACAAAACAAACAGTTCTAGAAAAGAGAATCAGACTTACTGTATATGCAGAAGAACATTGTGAACTTTTATCTTGATCCATGTGCAAATTTTGCTGAAATAATGAAGGGGAATTTCACTGTTTTTATATGGCACATGCAAAATCACATCTTAAGTATAATTCATTTTGTATTTTAGTATTCCTTTATGGTGTGTATTGAATTAGACTTTCTCCAGATTTTACAGATGAAATGGGTATATTCCATATTAATGGAAAGTTTTGATCCATGGCACAGACATATTTTGCACCCAGAAATTTGTATGTTCAAGTCCTTGAAATCCATAAATGAAAGTATGTTGGGAAAATAACCAGAAAAATCTTTGAGGGTTGATCTGCTCAATCAGGTTGCCTTATGGCAAGGATAGGCCATTAATATCTCTTAAGGGCAGGAATGCATATCATTCTCAACAAAGCCTCAGCCACTATTTCATCCTGGGTTGCTGGACTATGGAATGGTGAAAGGCTGAACTTTTTTTTTTTTTTTTTTTTTTTTTTTTT